GTGGACAGTGAAGGCCTGGACCACTCGCCAGGAAATGCTTCATTGGACAGCAGGGAAAACCTGGCCGAACGAAAGCCGTCTCATCGTAGCCGATAGAGCAAAAGCAGGCTTGCATTTTAGCAGAGGAACCTCTAAATCTACAACTAAACCAAAAAGCCTTAATAATACAATCAAGTCACTAGAAAGCAGCCGCCCTCCCCTCAGGCTCCAGCCCTCCTGGGCACAATGGTACACGGGCCTCAGGCTGATGATGCGGGGAAAACACAACCTACTATGCCATGTTGCAGCACATATTGCTGCAATTTGCAAGTCCCGTTGCAGGGCAAACTCACAAGCGTGTTCATCCACGCCGTCTGTCGATGCTTTCTCGCTAATACTGTGAACAATTATATGGCCCTCAATTCTCAGCCCGTCGTATCGCTGCTTCACATCGTTGCCACGAAGCCAAGGGCTACTGCAGCAAGGCCTAGAAAACCGGGTAAGAGAGCCGAAGCGGAGTTTTCGATGGCGTTGACGATGCGGCCCCACTGCTCCTCCCTGCAGAATGCACACAGGCAAAGAAAAGAAGGGCCGTGCAAGGTCTGCCTGAACAAACAAAGGGGGTATGCTGCTGAGTTCAAGGAGCTCACGTGAAGGGAGCACTTTCACTTTTCTCCGAAAGAACGTCAGGCGTCGTCATGCAAATCAAAGCAGAGCCTTCTTTTGTTTCTGCTTCAACCTCCTGACCACCCTGTTTCCCCGGGGCAGCAGTAGATGTCTTGGTTGTTTTAGTGCAGGTGACGATTCGGCAGTCGGCAGTGGCGTCATCTGAAGGGTTGTACATGGCAACGAGCGAAACGTTGTCCTGGTTGGAGTACACTGTATTGTCATCCTTTCTCGATGGAGGCATTGCACTGAAGTTGCTGTAGGCTTTCTTCCACTGATCCACTACGCCAGCGCAGTTGGGGGCACTAGTATCATCGACAACGTGGTATGCGTATGTGCCGCTCCCGAAGGTTTCAGAAGCTGTATCAGATTTCCCTTCTCCTGCTTCTTCCTGAAGGCACCAAGAGAGCAAGGATCTGGCGTAATGATTTTAAGCTGGCACAACCCCTACTGAAGCACGGGCAGCGAAGTAAACAACTTACTTTAATCAAGGCGGCGCAAACGGGTTTCCAGACCCATTCGGCATAGTTGCCGGAATCTCGCTCCCCTTCCTCGGGTAGTCTTTTGTCCTTCCCCTCTTGAGGTATTACGAAATCATTGAAACCGGCCTTCTTACGAGCACCGTTGATCTCGGTGAGGCATGTGCCATCATCTCCTGCGGAGAGAGACAAAATAGCGCCATAACGGGCGCCCTGATTTGCTTATCAAGCGTTTTCTGAAGCATTAAAATTTACGCTGAGCAATGAGCAAGTCTACGGAACTGCCCTGCCTGGCGGGGTTTGCGGGCCCAGGCACCACTTCCAGCATTCAGCTTCACCCACGACAAGCAAGCGTACCCAATTTGACAGCGTATGTGGTTGTTTCTGTAATTTGTGGTGTTTGAGGTCCCTCGGCACCGCTCCCATCAGCTTTGGCCAAGAGGAGCAGCGAGGCACTGACGACCGCGAACAGGCGGAG